CCTGCATTTCATCAAGCATCGTCTGGCGCCACCCTGGATGAGATAGTGCTTCACCTGTGGTTTTAGGGATGGAAACAGAAGAGAGACTAGAAACAAAAGTAAAATGTTGTGAAGAAAGTCTGTCATAACTCAAGAAAGAATAAAGGGGATGAGGATTTCGAGTGGATCGAATACCTTTCCAAAGGGCAATGGGAGGAGTCTCTGATGGAGGATCCGGAGGAGAAGAGCCGACGGGAAAGGGCGATGAGTCATCAAGAGGCAAAGTCGGAGGAGGTGCAGGCTGACGACGCTGGTATGTGAGGAGAGGACGATCTGTAGGTATGGAGGTAATGGGGTGCTCCTCTGGAATAGGGTCACCTGCAGCTGGTAAAGACAAGTCAAGAAAAGGAACAGGAAGGACCTGATCAACCTGTGACACTGCAGACGGAGTAGAGTGAAAAGGCTGCTGATCAAGGAAAGTGACATCAGCAGAAACGATATAACGCTTGAGATCAAGTGAATAGCAACGATACCCTTTTTGAAAACGTGTACACCCAAGGAAAATACATTTGAAGGCCTTGGATGTCAACTTGTCTTTACCTGAAGTAAGATCATGAACAAAACAAGTACAGCCAAAAATATGTAAAGGCAGAGGATAAGAAGGTGCTCCGGAAAACAAAATACGGTGGGGAACATCATTATTTAACACAGAAGAGGGCATGCGGTTGATAAGGAAACATGAGGTGATAATAGCATCTGCCCAAAAACGGAGTGGGACGTTCATATGAATGAGAAGGGTATGTGCAGTTTCAACTAGATGTCTATTTTTACGTTCAGCGACTCCATTTTGTTGTGGAGTATGGGGACAAGTAGTCTGGTGTATCGTCCCATGTGTATCCAGAAATTTAGAAAATTCAAGAGACACATACTCTTTTGCATTATCACTGCGCAAGATTTGAATAGAAGCACCAAATTGAGTTTTTATTTCTGTACAAAACTTTTGATAAATTGAAAATAACTCAGAACGATTTTTCATTAAATAAACCCAAGTGCAACGGGAGAAATCATCAATAAAGGTTAGAAAATACTGAAAACCCAAAACTGACATAGTCCGACTCGGACCCCAAATATCAGAATGAACAATAGAAAAGGGAGCAGCAGCTCTCTTATTGACTCTACTAGCAAAGGAAGAGCGAGTATGCTGTCCCTGCTGACAAGACTGACAATTCAAAGACTCAAGACCCGACAAAAAAAGAACCATATGCTGAAGCTTCGAGAGACTTGGATGACCCAGACGGCTATGGAGAAGCTCAGGAGACTCTGTGAGAGAGCATGCAACTGGAGCAGAGGGTGCATGCAGATAGTAGAGACCTCGTGACTCACCGCCCGCTCCAATCGTCTTCCCCGTACCCGGATCCTGCATAGAAAAAGACTGTTTAGAAAAGGTGATAGAGCAAGAAAGAGAATGGGTCAATTGACTAACAGAAATTAAATTAAAAGGAATGCCAGGGATGTAATAAACAGAGGTTAAAGTCAAGAAGGGAGTTGGTTTGGCTTGCCCAATGCCACGAGCAGGAGCCTTGGTGCCATCAGCAAGAGTAACAGAGGGAAGATTATTAGAAAAGGTAAGGGAAGTAAAAAGATCCTTATTACCACAAAGATGATCAGTAGCACCTGAGTCTATTATCCAGGGTCCAAGAGACGATTGAGAAAAACAAGCAACATGATTACCAGTATCTGGAGCAGGTGGCTGAGAAGAACTCTTCTGGAGAAAGGCCTCATAGTCTGCAGCGGAAATAGTCACTGATCCGGTAGAGGGCGGCACAACATCTGTTTGAGCAAAGTTCATATGTGGTGGCTTCAAGTGAGGGTACTTTCTGTAGCAACGTTCTTCAATGTGGCCCAGATTTTGGCAATAATTACACCGAGGCCTTTGTCCTCGGCCACCCTGTCCATACGACATCGTCTGTCCGCGCCCGCCTGGGCCATATGATGTCATGGGCCCGCGACCGCCTTGTCCGCGGCCACGACCACGACCGCGTCCACCATTGTTCCAATTACCACGAGAGACTAAAGCAGCAGAATCAGACAAGAGAGCAGTAGAGTCAGTAGCTGTGACGTGTGCGGGGGCCACCTTATCTTGAAGATTCAGAAGGCGCTGAAAGGTCTGGGATATGCTGGGAATCGCAGTACTGGTTAGAATGTTCTCACGAACACTTTCTAATCCGTCAGGGAGACCAGAGAGAGTCACAACCGTAAAGAGACGCTCCACTTGCGTCCTGTACACTGTAGCATCCGCAGCATGAGGTAACATAGCCAAAAATTCCTGCATCAAAGAACGAATCTTACCAACATAAACTTCCATACGAGCTTCGGGTGATTTGCGCAAATCCATCATCTGGGAGACAATGGAATAAAGTTGTTGAATATCATTGGTGTAGAGGTTTTTGGCTTCCGTCCACACATCATAGCAGGTCTCAAAAGGAATGAAAATATTGAGAAGAGATGAATCAATGGATTGCCAAAGAATATTGAGGAGCTGAGCATCAACTTTCTCCCATTCAGTCATCTGATCTTGGGAAATATCAGTCTTCTTAGTGGTGAGATGTTTTTCATGGCCTTGACCGGTAAACCAGATCTTAACGGAGGTAGACCAGGTCTTGTAAGTGGCAGATCCGGTCAATTTCAGAGTTGTGATAGAAGGAATAGCACTTGAAATGATGCCGGAAGGATATTTACTGAGATGGACAGCGATCAGACAACCAAAAAACGGTAAAAGTCACGCGAAAAAGGAACAAAGTAGCGACTTTTGCACTGGAAACCCTCGAACGGAAGAGACCCACAACGAACGGGCACCGGATCTGGAAGGAGGAGGCAGAGGCGAGCCTATCTGCCTTGGTTTGGCCGGAAAAGGTGGCCGGAACAGTGCACACGCGCCGGAGAGAGGTGGCGCGTGAGGCCCACGCGCAGACGGCTGTGGTGGCGCGTGGAGGCGCGTGCGGCAGCCGTTTGGGACGGGTCTTGGACAGAAACGGTCTCCGGCGTGAGGGGATCCTGATCGCGTGGTTTCTCGCCGGAACAGTGATGAACAGTGACGGAACAGTGTTTCTGGCGATGTGAACAGTGTTTTCCGGTCAAATAATGAAGGAGGATGACGATCTGAGATCGAAAAAGGGTCTAACAATGTTCGGAGGGTTGAAAAAGGTTGCCGGTATGATGCACGGCGGTAAAAAGGTTTGCCGGTATGATGTACGGCAGTAAATAAGAAAGGAAAATATATATATGCGGAAGCAGAGCCCTCAGATCGAGAGCTCTGATACCAAATTGAATCTGAAATATATTGTATATTCAAGTGTGTATAATTGTACAAGGAGGCTCTCTATTTATAGAGACTAAAAGACCTAATGGGATGACCTAATGGGCCAAGCCCACAATCTAGACTATTCTAGACTATTCTAATAATAATAAATTAATATTATTTCTAACAAAACAGTAATTAAACGACAGTATGACAGAGATACAAAGATAACAGAGATACCAAGAACTGCAGAAAAGTATAGCAAAGATACAAAGACCAAGAGGAAAAATTCCACTCCAAGACAACATCCCTAGCCTTGAGAGCTTCCCTATTTCCTCTCCCAATTCCCCATCCTAATTCCCCAAATTACAAATGATATTCAGCCTAAAAAATCCCACACTAAACATCTATATATACTAATTCCTAACTAATGGGCTGGAATACTTTTATTAAAGGCCCATAGAGGTCTAAAAAAGAATTCCCCAGCCACATATCATCTCAAAAATTCGTGAACCTATGGGAAGCAAAGTAAAGAAAGGGATATAACTGGGAAAGAATAATCTTCCATTTTCTTAGGAGCTAGCTTAAGGAGAATATTTGGCATAGCATTGAGTTAAGAAAAGTTTAACCCAAGACAAAGTGGCATAAACAAGAACATTTTGCAAAGAAGACAATATTGACGTTCAGGAAAACTGCATAAATTAGAATTAGCTTCTCTTATCTCAAGTAAAAGTCTAAAACTGACTCCGCAAAGGCTTCTAATTAAATTAGTTCTCTCTCTCTCTCTCTCTATATATATATATATATATATATAATCATCAATAGTATATCAAAACACAATAATAAAAGTTCATTTTTAAACATATGCATATAAAATTTAACGACATTTTTCAGGTTTTACCAAAATTAATTTCTCGAAATAATCATGCAATGATATGTCAAAACTACTCCATAGATATCAACTTCTTAACCTTTTACTGCAAATTTTATACCATAGAAATGTAAAACTCAATAACAGAAAAATAAATAAAAAATATCGATCATTAGCAAACTTACTTCTTCTACATAACAATTGTTACAAATGCTTTGTCGAAAACCACTCTACTTTAAGCTAAAGCTCTTAGAGAGGGGCCCAAGAATTGACTTATAACACTAACACACCCAGTCATGCAAACCCTTTTAAGTTCAAAGAACGAGGGTTCAAAAGGTTTTAACGTCTGACCACTTGGTCATAAAGGCACTGACATCATATTAAAGACCGACCTTATGAAAAAATTAAGTTATTAGGTAGGGGCAAAAGAATAGTTTCATATCTTTCACATGCTTGATTGGGGAGGAAAAATAAACCCAAGAGGGTAAGACAATCCTTAAAAATCTTACGCATTCATTTGGGTGAAACATCCTTAAAAAATCCATGAGCCACAAACCCACAACAAGGTTAAGACAATCCGGTCCCACCAACCAACCATGTAATCTCAGTGAATTTAATTGAGTTTCAGAAAGCTAAGCACTCATTTGGGGCCATGAACATATATCCATGCTCATTCTCCAACATTTAAAATTTATTTTTCAACTACCAAAAAAAAATTATTTTTGCGTTAAAAAAATAATTAAAAAAAAAGATCATATATAATTTATCTTCTTAAAGTAATCAAATTAGATTCCACCGGAGAAATTCGTAAGTTATAATTCAAAAATATATTGGTCAAAAAAGACAATGTACCTGTACAGTGGCCAGAGATGCATCTCTGGTCACCCCTGTATATAAGCTCAGTTCAACCAGATTTAAGGACACTGAGATTTTAAGCAAAATGGAGACTTCAACATTTGTGGTCCCTGAATCAACACCATCTGTAACCTCGGGGACAATATCTCCTGTGGCATAATTTAATGTCATGGTGGAATATTGATTCAGCGGTGGAGGAATCTGTGGAACCTCAGAAAAGTTAGATACAGCACACTCAGTAATAATCTGATATTCTTTATTTGACACTGCCGCTTTCAACTCTTCGATCTGTAGAACAACAATATCAATACAAGACACACCCAAAAAAAAAAAAAAAAAAAGAAGGGCAAGATATTAGAAATAACCAATTATAATAAAAGAAGAAAATAAGGAAATAACATTAATATTTGAAAGTGCGGCTATCCAATTTTTGGGGCACATTCCCCATGAAAATGAAATACATTACCTTGATTAAAATTTCAATGCTTGGAAATTGATGTAACAAGTCTCGGAGTGACCTATGAATAATCACAGATAGCCCATCCACACTCTGAATTATGCTTTCGCCTAAGTCTGTTCCAGTTCCAACATTTAAATTGATATTTTCAACCTACACCCAGCGACCAGTCTTATTAAAACAAACTGATTAATAGCACGTGTTACTCTAACACTTTCTAAGTTTCTATTACCCCCAAATGAATCATACTATGAGCAACCAATCTCACCTGGAGCATCAAAGTTTCCAAGTGCACTGCATTCATTTCACTTTTACTTCCACCAATCCACCGAAAGGTATTCTTCAGAGTTATATGAAAAATGTCAAGCCTCAAAAAACTGTCAAAGAAATATCAATAACTGATGTTAAACAGTTAAAGAAATGAAAACCGCACTTGAGCCTTAACAGCTTACATTATTAGATTGAGTGGAACATCAATTATACAGCACACTGTGATGCAATATATGAATACAAAACCTATTACTAAGAAATAAAGCCATTAGTGAACATGAAAAACTAAAATCTTCAGCTTACTCAAGGCTATCCGTTATCCGAGGCATTAATATTATAGGCTTCCTAAGAGAGAGATCAAACTTCACAGCAGGTGATCCTTCAATATCACCAGCTGAAAACCACTTCTCTGAATTGGTCACTTGATCTGTTACTTTGATGACACTTTTTGGGCTACTTGGAACAAGACCCATAAAATAGCCAACAACCTGCATGCATTTGGCCATAAAATCTTTTAATTGATGCACATAAAATATACAAAAGCTTGAACCAATCAGAAAAATACCTCTTGCACAAATCGATTTAGATAAACAATCCGCACTTCAGAAAGCTCACCAAAAAGGCTAAAATCATAACCTTCATAGTCTTCATCATCGTTGCTAAATGATGTGAACTCCAACTGCATGTTCATCCAGATATTCAACAACAAAATAACTATACCAAAACCGAAAATTACAAGTTATAGAGGTTCATCATTTTTTGAACTTGTATATCTATTTGTAGTAAGAAAATGGAATGAGTCTGATACTGTTCATATTTCCCAAGGGGACCAACCTACTACTTGGAGGGTTTATACCCGCAGGAATAAACCAAGAGTGAGTATAGAAGAGGTAAAAAATGGTTGAGAAGTTAGTTACTGTTGTAATAGGAATTGGAGAGGAGATTTTGTAGAAATAGGAGAATTAGACATTCTTGTGAGGACTTTACACATTCTTGTATACTCTGAGTTTCATCTCAGTATTGAAGGGAACCATTCCCCTGTGAAGAGCAAGTCTCTTGTACCCATCTCTTGGATTCAATAAATTGTCTATCGCTTTCTTCCTTTCCGGTTCATCTCTATTTTTCTTTCTTGTAATTACTGGTGTTATCACTATTTGGAACCCTTTGCCGTAACAGTGGTCCGACCTGCCGGATTCGTACCAGCTGGTGTCATCTCTTTGATTCAATAAAATTGTCTCTAACTTTCTTCTTTACCGGTTCATCTCTATTTTTCTTTCTTGTGATTACTGGTGTTATCAGTATTTGGAACCCTTCCTAATTATTTACAAAAAGCAAAATCATAAAAGAAAAAATATATATATTTATAGGGAAATAGAAGTATAATGTTATAGGAAAGTTGTTAGGTTATGTTACAGAGATAGAGATTGTGGGACCCACACTTGTTTTGTTTTTTTGTTATTTGAAAACAAGTGTGGGTCCCACAATCTCTATCTCTGTAACATAACCTAACAATTTTCCTACAACATTATTCTTCTTTTTCCCATATTTATATCCACAACTCCACATCTTAAAAACATTAGTCTTACATAGCAACAAATCTCATAGAAATGAGGAGAAAATCAGAAGAAAGTATTAATCACCAATTTACCACTTTTTATAAAAGAAGAAACCTTGTTCGAAGGAAAGAAAAAATGTCTTTCTTATTATGGGATAAAAGATGAAAATTATTGAAGAGGAAAGATTAGAACCAGAGAGGATAAAATACTCTCCTAAACATAAAACTAAGAAATTACGATCTTGAAAGGCTTAAAAATGAAACCGAGCTGTCCAATCCATCTATGTATCAGAAAGGTCAAGTACACTATGGATTATACACAAAACATTGAAGAGAGGCCATATACACAAACATATCCCATAACTTCAGTAAAAGATCAAAATTCCCTTCTCATTACAGTCCAACGAAATACAATAGAAAATGGAATAATTCTTCAAAATCCATCCCCACAAACTAAAACCCAATATTGAGAACACAGGTATTCACCAAGAGCTCCAAATAGATTATTCCAAACTGATGGGACTAAAATGACAGTGAGAATAATGAGACTCAGTCCCAAGGTTGTCAAACTCGAGATTCTACGCAAACTTGGAAGGGTGAACCAAAATCGTAAATCGCAGAATCGTAACACAAATCGTAGAATCTTAACATAAGATACAAATTATATTTATATATATTTATATGCATATAAAGTAGTAATATAATAAGCAAATTTAATTCAACCAACCAACAAAATAATGCATTACAATAGTCATAATCACATAAAGTCATATCCTAAATTAATTTTATAATATTGATTTTTCAATTAATCTTATCTATCTTGACTAAATTCAGTAAATTGGTTTTTCAATCAATATAGTCTCAATATTTTCAAATATTATATTTTTTTAATTAATATAGAACTAATATTTAGTATTAAATTATTAAAATCTTAATTTTATTATATTATTTCCATAATTTTTTTAATTAATATAGAACTAATCTTCTCCTTTATATTTTCTGTAGACAACCCTAAATAAAATACCCAACGGCCCAACCCAATTGAAACAAGCTGAGTTAAATGAGAAAAAAAAAATAACATATCGATGCAGATAAACAAAGGCAGAAACGAAACGAAACAGAGGAAGCGCAGAAGAGATTGAGACAGACACACCAACGTCGAAGGCACGACGACGAATCCTGGGAACGGAGCACGAAGACAAAGCTATTGACGGAGCACGTGGAGAACGCACGCACACACGCACGCAGAGAGGGACGACCAGAGTCAGAGAAGACGTGGAGCGCAGCCAAGCCTGATGGTGGAGGAGGAGGAGTCGTCTCTCACTGAGCAGGAATGGTGACGGCTTCCTCTAGGTATTTAGGGTTTTTTGTATTGAAAAATCCCATTTATTCGATGGATTTCAGGTCAAAAAATTCAAGTCCACAGGTCACTGTTTTTGGTGGAATCGTTTAACTCGTACGAGCTTACGAGTTTGCAAGTCAATGCCAAAAACGAGTTTATGGTGAAACAGGATCGTTGAGGGTATTCAAAAGCATTAACTCATACGAGTTTACTCGCGAGTTTGACAACCATGCTCAGTCCCTTTTAGCTTTACTTGATCCTTCTCACATTTCTTCTAGCCAAGATAGGAGAATTTAGATTATTGATCATTTTGGTGCGATTTTTTGTAACTCCTATGTCATGAACCAACTATCCCAAAAGCTTAAACTGTTAGATGAAGACACGTGAATGGTTTTATACACATTCCAATATGCCTCCCTCCTTATGCAAGAGCCATTTGGGCTTGAAATGTAGACAAAATATAGGTCCACCAACCTTGTGTTTAAATTCAACTTTTTGGGCAGCAAGGATTGAACTCTATATCACTGAAGGTAAGATTAACAAAAGCTTTTAATTGATGTGGAGTGGCAAAGGTGGCAAACAACACAAAGACGCTTCTATTTTTGGATAGAAGAAACTCTAATTGGAAGAAAAGATAGGATAAAATATGAGGGAAAATAAGGGATCCTCTTAAAACAACTAATAATAAAAGCAACAACCAAACAGGGGAAAAAAAGCCTAAACCTAAATAAAACAATCAATACAAATGGTTCACCAATCCCTCTGCAAGTCTATCGAGGAGACTCCCAAAGGAATCCATGCGCTGAAGACCAAAGTGAGGCTGAGTAAACAATCTTCTGCAGATCAGGTGACTAAGAAAAAAACCTCACTTTAAAAATCTGAGCATTCCTTTCTAACCAAAGGCAACAAAGTACAGTGAACAAATGACTCTTAAACTCAACGAATCGGACACATTTTATAAATGATAGAAAGAGGTACCTCCACAAAAGATCTGCCCCCAGGATTTCTCATATCGCATGCCCAGTAATATAAATGACTGCTAGGTAGGCTGTCATCACTTATTTTCAGATTCCCCAAGGCTGCTTTAATACTAAAAGAAGAAGGAAACACCTTGATATCTGTAAGCAAACTCTCTTGAGACAAACAAGCAAGCTTGGTTTCATTTTCCTTCATCAAAAGTATTTGGGCCTGGGCCATCTTTAATGTCAGATTGAACACAACTCTGGATTTCCCTTTTCCAAGCAAGCCTTTAACAGCATGTTCCTCCACTGTAGTAGCATCCAAATCATCGACTTCTCTTGATACATCACTTTTCATAATGGCTGTTGAAGATTTGTCACCAGAAGATGCAAAGTTTTCATCCTCGATGTTAACAGAATTAATAAATTCCATAATGGCTAGGATTGTTGGTCTACGACAAAAAAAAGTCAAGGTAGCCAGAGTCACTACCACCTGAAATAGTGAAATGACATAAAAAATATTACGTGTAAAAACCACACAGACCTGAAGACAGTTTGTTAAAGCCCATAAACACCCACCTGCTTATCTATATTATTATACCGAGCAGAGTTCTGGTCATAGATAACAATTTGTGCTTTAACAAAACTCTCCAACGTGTCACTAAGTTCAAGTTCAATATTACTAGTAGAAGGAGCATCATTAGGTAGAAGTCCAGTAATGCGACTAAACTTTGGCAGTTCCAGAGATGAATAATTAAGTTGGATCTCACTGGGGGAACTAAATGGGTACTCCGATGTACCTCCAGGCGATTGCATAGGATAATCAGCACTGTCTGCCAAAGTCTCAGGTGCCTCAAAAAACTTATCATCAGTTTCAGTAGGTATTAATCCCCTACTTTCAACATCTTCTGTCATAGTATTAAAGAATAATGAATTCTCATCAGCAGTCCCAATAAATGACCTTGCCAAATAACAAGGCTGAGACTGTTGACTACAGCAAACTAAATCTTCTATTTCCAAGGACTTCAAGATAGTACCAATGAAAATGTCATTGTCTCTGATAGAAACCTCCACCTGTTTAAATATAAATGCCTCAAAAAGGGAAGAACAAAGCATCTAGTTGAGAAACAACAAACCAGATATCTTACTTGACCACCTATTGCTCGAAATTCAAACAAACGCTTCTCTTCATTTAAAAGCACCTTCACTAAGCTCTGATCAGACTACAGCAACGCGCACAATTTTAATACATGTGGAAATTCAGATTTGAAACTAAAACAAGAAAATGGCAACAAACAGGCTAACCTGATAACTATAACTGAAGCAAACCTTCAATTCGTCAAGAACACCTGTTACAAACAATCTTTCAGCAATTGCTATATCAATCACACCCTGGTTATCATGTTCTGATTCAATATCATCACGATCTGATGAGGTTTCTGATAGACCCGAAATAGGAGCAGTATTCTGCACAAATATAGTGCAATATGAACATTTAATGTTAGAAAATGCTAGCAGTATGCTCTACTACATATACTCAATCAAACAATGGTTGTAAGTGTGTTTAGAATAGATTAGCTTATTTTTTGCAGATTCCTTAGAGAGCTTTTGTCAAAAAAAAAATTGACCATTTCCAGTAATTATCCACTAACAAAAATTTATGAAAGCCATTTAACCCAAAAAAAAAAAAGTTAAAGCTTCCCATAGTAACCAAAAACGACCAATCAAACAGAAAAAAATGCTAAAAAGTCAACTTTTAAGTAAACCAAGTATTAATGTTAACACGTATTGTTTTCCCTACGTAGTAAGCCTGTGCTACTTCTTGTAAAGAACCAATTCAACCTAAAAGCTTAAGTTGTTGGGTGAGGCTACCTTAATGGTTTTATATTTATCTAACACTCCCCCTCACACGAGAGCCCATTGAGTTTGAAGGTGTAGAATATTCTAGAGTTTCTTTTTAGAGTCTAGTCTCTTTGATTAGTGTGATGCCTCTTCGTTTGTTGTGTACTTTTATTTATTTTTATTTATTACTTCAACTCCTTATTGTAATCTGTATATATAGAACCCTTTGGGTGTCAATCAATATATGAAAAAACATTTCTGTCTTATATTTCATCATGGTATCAGAGCAGGTTATCCTGTGGTCATCTTGTAAACCTCCACGTCTATTTTTTCTTTTTTTCTTTTCACTGTTCGTCTACTATAACCCAGATCTCATATCTGGACCGCTCCAATCACGTAACCAAGGCCACCACTGGACTCAGAAGCCATTTCCGAGTCGACCCACGTCAGCCCCGTCGCCGGAAAGTCAGCCACGCGCCGCCACAGCAGAGCAGCCTCTCCGGCGCGTGTGAGCCACGCGCCGCCCTGCCGGTCTCCGTTTGACACGCGGCTTTCACAGAACAGCTCGCCTGGCCTCCCTCTTCCTGTTCTGAGGGTTTAAATCACGATTGGAGCACTTTTTTTTGCTGGGTCTTGTTGTTTCCTCTTCATCAAGCTCGTGAAGCTTTGTTCTGAACGTTTTTTTTTTACAATGGAAGATGAAATTAATGAGGCTGAGAATAAGCATTATGACAAATCACCCGGTGGAGTTTCCGGTGTCTCTCCTCCTCCCTATTTTTCGTCTTCCGGAGACAACCCAGCTATTCAGATTACAAACCACCGTTTAAACGGTAAGAATTATATGCAATGGCAACAATCTGTCAAGCTGTTTATCCAAGCAAAAGGGAAAATGGGGTATCTTGATGGAAAAAAGGAAAAACCCGAAGCTGATGAACCTGATTATGATAAATGGATGACTGAAAATGCCTTGGTCATGACCTGGTTAACTAACTCCATGGATCCTGATATCAGTCAAACTTATTTGTTTCTTGATACGGCTCAGGAAATTTGGGATGCCGTTAAAGAATATTATTCTGACCTGGGCAATGCTTCTCAGGCTTTTGAACTCAACACCAAGGTAAGAGAGTTACATCAAGAGGGGATGTCTGTCACTGAATACTTTCTTGCTTTAAAAACTCTGTGGCAGGAGTTGGATCTTTATGATGCAGCAGATCTTCAAGGTTTAGAAGCTAATGCAAGGTTTAAGAGTTACTTAGAGAAAAGACGTCTCTATGATTTTCTTGCTGGCCTTAATCGTGATCTTGATGATGTTCGTGGTAGGATATTGGGTCAGAACCCATTACCTTCCATTGCAGCTGCTTTTTCTATGGTACGACGGGAGGAACTTCGCCGAAAGGTAATGTTGGGAGACAAGAACTCTAAATCCTCCGATGTATCTGCCTTAGTAGCAAAACATAATCCTCGTCCCCCTGGTGATACAAAACGTTCTGACCGTTCTGACCGATGGTGTTCTCATTGCAATAAGAGTGGTCACACTCGCGAAAAATGTTGGGAAATTCATGGAAAACCACCAAACTGGAAAACAAAGGGGCTGAACAAGAGTCGTGCTTATCAAATCTCTTCTGATGATAAGGGTGAGGAGTCTCGTGCCTCTCCAAATTCCGATGGTGTATTCATCCCTAAAGCTCAGTATGAGCAATTTCAGAAGGTGATGTCTCAATCTGCTGAGGCAACTAGCCATGTTGCTCAACAAGGTATGGCATTCCATGTTGATCGTAGTAGTCGTTGGATTCTTGATTCTGGAGCTTCTGATCATATGACAGGTAATGCAACCTTGTTCTGTTCTATACCCCTTATTATCACCAGTCACGGATAAGGACTGCTGATGGTAGTTTCTCTAATATTGCGGGAAAGGGATCCATTAAGCTCTCTGAACATATTACTCTGAATTCTGTCCTTCATGTCCCTTCTCTTACTTGTAACCTTATTTCTATTAGTAAACTTTCCTCTGAATTGCATTGTGTTGCTAAATTCTCTGCCAAAACCTGTGTTTTTCAGGAACAGGATTCGGGGCTGATGATTGGCAGTGCTAGAGAGGAAGAAGGGCTTTACTATTTTGAAGAAGATTCTCATGAAAAGAGATTTTTTGCAAATCACTCTTTATGTTTATCAGATGATTGTAATGATGTTTTGTTGTGGCATCGTCGTTTAGGACACCCAAATTTCTTTTATCTTCAAAAGTTGTTTCCAAACTTATTTATCAATAAAAAACCAAGTTCCTTTTGTTGTGATGATTGTCAATTTGCAAAACACTCTCGTGTTTCTTATTCCCCCAGAGATTATCATGTTTCGTCTCCATTTACATTGATTCATAGTGATATTTGGGGACCAGCTCGTGAAAAAAATATATCTGGAGCTCGTTGGTTTATTACCTTCATTGATGATCATTCCAGAGTATGCTGGGTATATCTTCTAAAGGATAAGTCTGAAGCTGCAGCCACTTTTAAAAACTTTCATGCTATGGTACAAACTCAATTCCAGACTTCTATCCAAATCCTGCGAACTGACAACGGTACTGAATATTTCAATTCTGTTCTTGGTGATTACCTAACCAAGCAAGGTATTATCCATCAAAGTTCTTGTCCTAACACCCCTCAACAAAATGGGGTGGCTGAAAGAAAAAATAGACATCTCATTGAAGTTGCTAGAGCCCTCTTGTTTACAATGCATGTCCCTAAATACCTATGGGGGGAGGCTGTCTTGACTGCCTCATATCTCATCAATCGAATGCCCTCTCGTGTCCTGAATTTTCATTCTCCCATATCTTGCCTTACCCGCTCTTTTTCCTCCTTTCGGGCTCTATCTTACCTTCCTCCAAAATTGTTTGGCTGTGTGGTTTTTGTTCATATTCCTCCACATCAAAGGTCCAAACTTGATCCTAAGTCTGTTAAATGTGTCTTCATAGGATATCCTCCTAATCAAAAAGGTTACAAGTGCTACTCACCTTCTCTTCGAAAGGTCTTTGTTTCTATGGATGTTACTTTTTATGAAACACAATCACTTCTCTTCAGGGGGAGCTTTTTCAACTCTCTCGATCTATTTCATATATACCAGGGGGAGTCTTTGCGTGTAAATGGATAGCAGTTGTCGTTGGAATATTCTATTATTTATTTCAATTTTTATTTGATTTTGTATTTTCGTGAGGGATTGTGAAAGATGTTCCACTAGAAATATTCTTGTGGATCCAATCACGATCTTATAATAAGAACAATAAATATTTCTCGATCAATCCTTTTACTCCCATTTCGCTCGCCGCTACTACGGGAATCGCTTTTGCTTTCTTTTCCTTCTACTTCCCCCCCCCCAAATTGATTGGATTTTTTTTTTCCTTTTCCTGGATCGATGCCAAGGCAGACATTTGTCATTTGTGTAAATGAAAAGATATGTCTTGGATTCCAAATAATTCTACTGTCCTACCTTTACCCTTGGAAACATCTGAAACATCTGTTGTTCCTCTACCTTTGGAGACAGGGGGAGTTAATGTACAGGAGACAAGGACAGCAACTGTACCAGAGACTGGAGATCCTCCCGGTAAATGGGGAAAATTCTACAGCAGGCGTAAATCTCCTCAAGATCCTCTAGACTGCCAGGATTCTGACCCGAGTCCTTGTTCCAGCAATCCACTTGAGAACACTGGTACAGCTAACCTAGATATGCCTATTGCCCTTCGAAAAGGTACTAGATCTTGCACTGCTCATCCTATTTCTCATCACATTTCATATGAAAAGTTATCTCCAGGTTTTCGTGCTTTCAACACTATATTAGACGGTACAAAAATACCAAAGAATATCCAAGAGGCACTTAATGACCCTAAATGGAGGGATGCAGTCTTTGAAGAAATGGATGCACTCAGAAAAAATGGAACTTGGGAGTCCGTGGCACTTCCCAGAGGAAAGAAAACTGTAGGTTGCAAATGGGTGTTCACAATAAAATTTAATGCAGATAACAGCATCAACAAATATAAGGCCAGATTGGTTGCCAAAGGATTTACTCAGACTTATGGGATAGACTATCAGGAGACGTTTGCTCCCGTTGCCAAACTTAACTCTATTCGAGTCCTACTGTCACTTGCTGCCAACCTTGATTGGCCCTTGCATCAATTGGACGTAAAGAATGCCTTCTTAAATGGGGACTTACATGAGGAAGTTTACATGGATCCACCACCTGGTTTTGAGGAGGGAGATGGTTATGTATGCATGTTGAAGAAGTCTCTTTATGGACTTAAACAATCCCCTAGAGAGTGGTTTGACAAGTTTACTCGTGCTGTTAAAGGAAGAGGATTTATCCAAGCTCAGACTGATCACACTTTATTTTTTAAACACTCCGATAGTGGTAAAATTGCTATCCTCATTGTTTATGTTGATGACATAATTGTCACAGGTGATGACTGGGAGGAAATAAAATCTTTAAAGGGGGGTTTAGCTAATCAGTTTGAACTGAAGGACCTTGGATCACTCAAATATTTCCTTGGAATGGAAGTTGCTCGTAGCAAGGCAAGAATCTTCTTATCTCAGAAGAAATATATCCTAGACCTGCTACAAGAAACAGGTATGCTTGGGTGCAAGCCTGCAGAAACTCCAGTTGAACCCAATATTAAATTGGGAATTGAAGATGGAGAAGATGTTGACAGGGAGCTGTACCAAAGGTTGGTAGGAAAGCTGATCTACTTATCTCACACTCGGCCTGATATTGCATTTGCAGTTAGCATGGTTAGCCAATTCATGCATTCTCCTAAGGAAAAACACCTTAGTGCGGTTTATAGAATCCTCAAGTACCTCAAAAACACCCCTGGTCGGGGAATGCTCTTTAAAAGAGGACACAAGAGGATGATAGAAATCTATACAGATGCTGATTGGGCTGGCTCTGCAATGGACCGAAGATCCACTTCAGGATATTGTACCTATGTCTGGGGAAATCTTGTGACCTGGAGAAGTAAGAAACAAACTGTTGTTGCCAGAAGCAGTGCAGAAGCAGAATTTCGGGCATTAGCCCATGGCATTTGTGAAGGAATCTGGTTAAGAAGACTCCTTGAAGAATTAAAGATATCTTATTCTCTACCTGTCAGACTCTATTGTGATAATAAGGCTGCTGTCAGTATTGCTCAAAATCTTGTTCATCATGATAGAACCAAACATGTGGAGGTTGATCGTCACTTTATCAAAGAAAAATTGGAGGAGGGTAGTGTATGTTTGTCATATATACCTACCAAGGAGCAAACAGCCGACATTCTCACCAAAGGGTTACACAAACCCATCTTTGAGGGTTTAATTTGCAAGTTGGGGATGATCAATATATATCTCCCAACTTGAGGGGGAGTGTAGAATATTCTAGAGTTTCTTTTTAGAGTCTAGTCTCTTTGATTAGTGTGATGCCTCTTCGTTTGTTGTGTACTTTTATTTATTTTTATTTATTACTTCAACTCCTTAACTACCTTGTAATCTGTATATATAGAACCCTTTGGGTGTCAATCAATATATGAAAAAACATTTCTGTCTTATATTTCATCAGAAGGGTGGATGATGCATCAGACCCAGCCTACCTGTGTTAAGAGACTCCACATTATTTAATTATTTTTATTAATAGAATGAGGGTGGTGAGGATCGAACTAGTGACCACTTAGTCACGCCCGCTCTAACACTATGTAAAGAACCAATTCAACCTAAAAGCTTAAACTGTTGGATGAGGCTACCTTAATGGTTTTATATTTATCTAACACTTCTCAATACAGAGGTTCTTTTTCTGAAAATAAACTAGGAAATGGAGTATTTTCCAACTATAAGCAAGAACCTTCACTATTTATAAAGTTGTAAACGTCCACTGTAGGTGAACAAGGGCAAATGGGAAAAAGAATTTTCCATAATGGGGGGCTAAAACTAGCTAAACTTAAATGAGAACAGCAAAACAAGAAAAATTGACACAGGCAAAGTACACTGCAAGACCATACACAGACAAATTTTTTGCCATTTACTTTTAAAATCAAATCAGGATACAAAAAGTATAAAACTATTCTCATCAGAGAAGAGAGAGAGAAAGAGAGGGAGGGAGGAAGATGGAGAAAACAAACTGATGCGTAATAAATAGCCCCTTGTAAGCGACTATGCCAGGTTTTCTTTGAATCCTCTGATTCACAACGTAAAATCAGTGCATTTGTATCCTCCACAACCTACATCCATATAGTGATTGATATTACTAGACATTAAAACAATGTGGAAATAACAGAAAGATCTCATCCCCAGTTTTTGAGTAATAGAAAAAGAGTGATTACCTTATTGTTGGATTGTGTAGGACTACAAACAACCAGAACATGCTCTGCATTACCAACAAACTCTGGTGGAACCTGATATACCTGTTTCCCCCGTAAGCTATGACAATCAGATTACAGAAACTGTTAATAACATAAATGAAGCTAGAGTAGATGCAGATAACAATCAAAGAAGTAATTCACGCACATACTTGGCAATAGACTAAGAAAGACTTGAGAACAAACAATGAAAGTAATTTGAGAATTGCTTGAGTGGTTTGCATGGAATGCTGATATTTATGTACATGAAGAATAAATAAAACTTGTCTTTACAAAAACAATAAATAAGAATTGAGCTGTTTCCAAAGATCCTAAAGCAATGCCCCAAATACTTCCAATGCTACATTAACTCATAGTATATCCAAAGCTAATATTAATCACTGTTATCATTTCCAACAGTCACCTTCTGATAGAGTTTAGAGTACAGAGAAAGTGAAAGAAAATGAGGGAAAGTTAGAGAAAATGAGAAAGAGAGAAAGGGGAGGGGAGGAGGGGGGGGGAGACCTGAACAGAAACTCAATGCTGAAATGTATTGATTGTTGAAAAAGTATTTTCTGAACAGACATCATGTACAATATATAGCTAAAGCTATCTCTCTAGCCTCAACAGAATTGCATAACAGAATACCTAACTGAAACTGACAGTTGTCAGTTGACACTTGAAACAGAATCTAACTGAAACTGCACTGCTGCACCTGAATTATATAGTCTATTAACATAAAACGCAAAAATAAGGCATTTGCACCTGGTATACTGTTTGTAAGATCTCGAGTCAGGGCTTTCAAGAACATAAAGAAACGGTCCAACTAAGCAGAAGTATCTCCGCTGCCACACAGCTTCTCTGATTCCCATGCCCTGTTACATTTTTATTAACGATACATGATATCGTAATACATCAGATAGTGGCACTACATGGACCCAAAAAATGGCCAAGAGCTAACCTAGAGGGGCTGAAAGAGACCACTACCTTCCACGTTAGAAGAGACAACCACCCCTCAAGGTCAGCCTGATTCCAAGGATGAAGAAACCCCGAGCTGTCATCATCCTCAAAGATCTTCATTACCTGCATCAGTCGATGATACCGAGCAGGAGAAAAATGAAAGGCCAACGATGGAAGCCTCACAGCAAGGCGCGTTGAAGGATAGAAAGGAGTCTCTAACTGAATCTGTTCATAATGAGAGAAAAATTAGAAAGCTTATGTTAAAAAGAGACAACTATAATAATTCCAACACGTCAAGAATTTTACCTGTTGAAGCTGCAAGATGACTCCACACTTGTCAATAATTGGGAAGAAACCACTATTCGTTGAATGGGCTGACTTATTCAGAGAAATTTGGCTCCAGTGATAGTCACCATCAAATAAAAATGCCGATACATCACTTAAGACCAAATCAAATTGCAGGTACATATTATCCTCAGCTGATTCCTGTTGACGGTAATCCTGAACACATTTTCTACAGTTTTAATAGATTGAACAAGTTCAAATAAAAATACTAAAAAATCACCAGGAATATCCACCTGTGTACGAATCATCAAGTTCCCTAGGTCCAGTAAAAGCTTTGTGGCATGGGTATTGTCAGGACAAAAATCAGTAGGAATAGTAATCTTGGGAGCTGCAATATCCAAATCCAATGAAAACCTAACAGATAGGCAACAACTAGAATTAGCAAGGAGCTTTTAAAGAAGAAGCCCTCTAGTTTCAGGAGTAAGTATGGAACAAGGAGCTAAGAAAAAAACTTCCAGAAAATGTAGGGTCTCAATCATCCCATCTAGTAATACCAAGAGCAATCATAAAATCATATTCTCATCACTAGGTAGCTGGAGCTTTGCCATATCACACGCACTTATTACTCCATGTCACTGAAGGAATGTTGAATTCTAATGGTACTGTAGTAAATTGTAATGGGAAGCAATGACCAATACCAATATCACATTATCACCACAAAAACTAGCTTCCTACCCTTTTTGGGCTTAATCACTAAAATAAAATTGAATCTGAAATATATTGTATATTCAAGTGTGTAAGTCTGTACAAGGAGGCTCTCTATTTATAGAGACTAAAAAGACCTAATGGGATGACCTAATGGGCCAAGCCCACAATCTAGACTATTCTAATAATAATAAAATAATATTATTTCTATCACTCCCCCTCAAGCTGGTGCGTATATATCAAAAGCTCCCAGCTTGTTACAAATATGATCTATTCGGGGACCTCTAAGAGCTTTAGTGAATACATCCGCAAGTTGATCATTGGAATTGACAAATAGGGTCTCGATCTCCCTTGACTGGATCTTTTCTCTAACAAAATGACAGTCAATTTCTATATGCTTGGTCCTCTCATGAAAGACTGGGTTAGAGGATATATGCAAAGCGGCTTGGTTGTCACAAATGAGCTTCATAGGCCTTTGTTCACAGAAATGGAGTTCCTTCAGCAATTGTCTCAGCCAGATGAGCTCACAGGTTGCATTTGCCATTGCCCGATATTCTGCCTCCGCACTGGATCTGGCGACCACAGTTTGCTTTTTACTCTTCCAAGAGATCAAATTTCCTCCGAAAAGAACACAATACCCTGAGGTGGATCGTCTATCTGAAGGAGAACCTGCCCAGTCAGCATCTGAATAACTAGAGATCTCTGAACTCCCTTTATTTGTATATAATAAACCTCTTCCTGGCGCCTTTTTAATATATCGGAGAATTCTAATAACTGCATCCCAATGGGAGTCACAGGGAGAATCAAGAAATTGACTTGCAACACTCACTGCGAAGGAGATATCTGGCCTTGTCACAGTAAGATAATTCAATTTTCCAACTAGTCGGCGGTAGCGACTAGGATCTGGCAGTGGCTCCCCCTGTCCTGGTAATAACTTAACATTGGGGTCCATAGGTGTATCAATGGGTTTACAGCCTAACATTTCAGTCTCATCTAGGATATCCAGTGCATACTTCCTCTGACAGATGGAAATGCCCCGCCTAGACTGTGCAACTTCGATCCCCAAGAAATATCGAAGTCTGCCACGATCTTTGGTCTGAAATTGATTGAATAAATGCTCTTTCAACTGATCAATCCCGATCTGATCACTGCCTGTAATGATAATGTCATCAACATAGACCAGGAGATAAACGCACTGGCCAGAAGAGCTATGCCGGTAAAAGACAGAATGATCGGCTTTGCTTCTGATTAAGCCAAAGGATTCAACAACTGAACTAAAGCGGCTAAACCAGGCCCGAGGAGATTGCTTCAGGCCATATAAAGATTTCCGAAGTTTACATATCATTCCAGAACTCTCCCCCTGAGCAACAAAACCTGGTGGTTGCTCCATATAAACTTCTTCCTGCAAGTCACCACGTAGAAAAGCATTCTTAATATCAAGTTGGAGAAGAGGCCAGTGATGAATGGCGGCAAGGGCAAGAAACAGGCGAACAGAAGCCATCTTAGCAACAGGAGAAAAGGTATCCCCATAATCAAGACCAAAGATCTGTGTGTATCCCTTGGCCACTAAGCGAGCTTTAAGGCGATCAACAGTGCCATCAGGACCAACTTTAACAATGAACACCCATCGACAACCGACAACAGACTTCCCGGGAGGAGCACGAACAAGATCCCAAGTGCCATTAGAGTGAAGTGCCTGCATTTCATCAAGCATCGCCTGGCGCCACCCTGGATGAGATAGTGCTTCACCTGTGGTTTTAGGGATGGAAAAAGAAGAGAGACTAGAAACAAAAGTAAAATGTTGTGAAGAAAGTCTGTCATAACTCAAGAATGAATAAAGGGGATGAGGATTTCGAGTGGATCGAATAACTTTCCGAAGGGCAATGGGAGGAGTCTCTGATGGAGGATCCGGAGAAGAAGAGCCGACGGGAAAGGGCGATGAGTCATCAAGAGGCAAAGTCGGAGGAGGTGCAGGCTGACGACACTGGTATGTGAGGAGAGGACGATCTGCAGGTATGGAGGTAATGGGTTGCTCCTCTGGAATAGAGGCACCTGCAGCTGGTAAAGACAAGTCAAGAAAAGGAACAGGAAGGACCTGATCAACTTGTGACACTGGAGACGGAGTAGAGTGAAAAGGCTGCTGATCAAGGAAAGTGACATCAGCAGAAACGATATAACGCTTGAGATCAGGAGAATAGCAACGATACCCTTTTTGAAAACGGGTATACCCAAGGAAAATACATTTGAAGGCCTTGGATGTCAACTTGTCTTTACCTGGAGTAAGATCATGAACAAAACAAGTACAGCAAAAAATATGTAAAGGCAGAGGATAAGAAGGTGCTCCGGAAAACAAAATACTGTGGGGAACATCATTATTTAGCACAGAAGAGGGCATGCGGTTGATAAGGAAACATGAGGTGATAATAGCATCTGCCCAAAAACGAAGTGGGACGTTCATATGAATGAGAAGAGTACGTGCAGTTTCAACTAGATGTCTATTTTTACGTTCAGCGACTCCATTTTGTTGTGGAGTGTGGGGACAAGTAGTCTGGTGTATCGTCCCATGTGTATCCAAAAATTTAGAAAATTCAAGAGACACATACACTCTTTTGCATTATCACTGCGCAAGATTTGAATAGAAGCACCAAATTGAGTTTTTATTTCTGCACAAAACTTTTGATAAATTGAAAATAACTCAGAACGATTTTTCATTAAATAAACCCAAGTGCAACGGGAGAAATCATCAATAAAGGTTATAAAATACTGAAAACCCAAAACTGACATAGTCCGACTCGGACCCCAAATATCAGAATGAACAATAGAAAAGGGAGCAGCAGCTCTTTTATTGACTCTACTAGCAAAGGAAGAACGAGTATGCTTTCCCTGCTGACAAGACTGACAATTCAAAGACTTAAGACCTGACAAAAAAGGAACTATATGCTGAAGCTTCGAGAGACTTGGATGACCCAGACGGCTATGGAGAAGCTCAGGAGACTCTGTGAGAGAGCATGCAACTGGAGCAGAGGGTGCATGCATATAGTAGAGACCTCGTGACTCACCGCCCGCTCCAATCGTCTTCCCCGTACCCGGATCCTGCATAGAAAAAGACTGTTTAGAAAAGGTGATAGAGCAAGAAAGAGAATGGGTCAATTGACTAACAGAAATTAAATTGAAAGGAATGCCAGGGATGTAATAAACAGAGGTTAAAGTCAAGAAAGGAGTTGGTTTGGCTTGCCCAATGCCACGAGCAGGAGCCTTGGTGCCATCAGCAAGAGTAACAGAGGGAAGATTATTAGAAAAGGTAAGGGAAGTAAAAAGATCCTTATTACCACAAAGATGATCAGTAGCACCTGAGTCTATTATCCAGGGTCCAAGAGACGATTGAGAAAAACAAGCAACATGATTACCAGTATCTGGAGCAGGTGGCTGAGAAGAACTCTTCTGGAGAAGGGCCTCATAGTCTGCAGCGGAAATAGTCACTGATCCGGTAAAGGGCGGCACAACATCTGTTTGAGCAAAGTTCATATGTGGTGGCTTCAAGTGAGGGTACTTTCTATAACAACGTTCTTCAATGTGGCCCAGATATTGGCAATAAATACACCGAGGCCTTTGTCCTCGGCCACCCTGTCCATACGACATCGTCTGTCCACGCCCGCCTGGGCCATATGATGTCGTGGGCCCGCGACCGCCTTGTCCGCGGCCACGACCGCGTCCACCATTGTTCCAATTACCACGAGAGACTAAAGCAGCAGAATCAGACAAGAGAGCAGTAGAGTCAGTAGCTGTGACGTGTGCGGGTGCCACCTTATCTTGAAGATTCAGAAGGCGCTGAAAGGTCTGGGATATGCTGGGAATCGCAGTACTGGTTAGAATGTTCTCACGAACACTTTCTAATCCGTCAGGGAGACCAGAGAGAGTCACAACCGTAAAGAGACGCTCCACTTGCGTCTTGTACACTGTAGCATCCGCAGCATGAGGTAACATAGCCAAAAATTCCTGCATCAAAGAACGAATCTTACCAACATAAACTTCCATACGAGCTTCGGGTGATTTGCGCAAATCCATCATCTGGGAGACAATGGAATAAAGTTGTTGAATATCATTGGTGTAGAGGTTTTTGGCTTCCGTCCACACATCATAGCAGGTCTCAAAAGGAATGAAAATATTGAGAAGAGATGAATCAATGGATTGCCAAAGAATACTGAGGAGCTGAGCATCAACTTTCTCCCATTCAGTCATCTGATCTTGGGAAATATCAGTCTTCTTAGTGGTGAGATGTTTGTCATGGCCTTGACCGGTAAACCAGATCTTAACGGAGGTAGACCAGGTCTTGTAAGTGGCAGATCCGGTCAATTTCAGAGTTGTGATAGATGGAATAGCACTTGAAATGATGCCGGAAGAATGTTTATTGGTTCCTTCCATCAGGAACAGCGATCAGACAACCAAAAAACTGTAAAAATTACGCGAAAAAGGAACAAAGTAGCGACTTTTGCACTGGAAACCCTCGAACGGAAGAGACCCACAATGATCGGTCACTGGATCTGGAAGGAGGAGGCAGAGGCGAGCTTGTCTGCCTTGGTTTTGTCGGAAAAGGTGGCCGGAACAGTGCACACGCGCCGGAGAGAGGTGGCGCGTGAGGCCCACGCGCAGACAGCTGTGGTGGCGCGTGGAGGCGCGTGCGGCGGCCGTTTGGGACGGGTCTTGGACATAAATGGTCGCCGGCGTGAGGGGATCCTGATCGCGTGGTTTCTCGCCGGAAAGGTGGCCGGAACAGTGATGAACAATGACGGAACAGTGTTTCTGGCGATGTGAACAGTGTTTTCTGGTCAAATAATGAAGGAGGATGACGATCTGAGATCGAAAAAGGGTCTAACAATGTTCGGAGGGTTGAAAAGGGTTGCCGGTATGATGCACGGCGGTAAAAAGGTTTGCCGGTATGATGCACGGCAGTAAAACGAAAGGAAAAGATATAGATGCGGAAGCAGAGCCCTAGAGCTCTGATACCAAATTGAATCTGAAATATATTGTATATTCAAGTGTGTAAGTCTGTACAAGGAGGCTCTCTATTTATAGAGACTAAAAAGACCTAATGGGATGACCTAATGGGCCAAGCCCACAATCTAGACTATTCTAGACTATTCTAATAATAATAAAATAATATTATTTCTAACAAATAAAATGTAAAAGAAAATTTAGGATCTTAAAGAGTTCCCATGAATCTTTCAATGAACCTCTTATAGTCATTATATTGGTTTCAACTGATATTTTTTAATTTCTTTAAGATTGACTCTTCATTAACTACCTTAGTCTAGAATTTACTTTTTTTACCATTAGGAGCCCTGGTCGGTTGCATAACGCAGAGTGTGACAATGAGGTAAAAAAAAATTGTGTACACACAGATAGAAATATACTAGTACAATACTAATTATAAGAGCAGATCTTCAGCACATGTATAATGAGTAATAGATAATATGCTCGTTATACATGTGCTTTAAATTATTTAATTCTAACAAGAATCACAACACACAAATTTCCTATAGTTTTCCTTCAACAACAGTACAACATAGTTTCCTACTCAAAAATCATAGGCTCTATCACTATGTCATGCATAAATTACAGAGTTAGAAGACTGCGAAGATAATAACCTGGCATGATCCTTTAATGCTTGGTTCATTTGTTGCTGGGCAGAGCGCTTCACTTCGTCAATTGTCATCTAGGAACATCATACGAGCCAATGAGAATATTGTCTTACATGAGATTAAACAAGTATCAAGAATCAGGTAAAAAGAAAACCTCTCCAAAGAGACAAATAAATTCCATGTTTTTAGCATAACAAAACACATTGAGAATAGAGCCAACAAGAACATTCTTTTACATGAGATTAAACAATTATCAAAAATGTGATAAACAGTAGAACTGTCAAAAGAGACTAAAACAAATTCCATGTTTCTTGCATAAGAAAATACATTCCGAAAAGGGCAAACCCCAAGGCTCCCTGACTTGCAAGGGAAGGGGTGAAGGTCAATTTTACGCAACCTTATCCTTACATTTTTGCAAAGAGGTTATTTCCAAACTCAAACCCATGACCTTCCAGTCACAAGGAGAAACATTACCGCTGCTCCAAGGCTCGTCTTCAAGAAAATATAATGAGAAAGAAAAAGAAATATTACAAAAAAAAAAAAAAGGAAACAGATCAGGAGGAGAAAGGATAAATGAAAAGATAAACGCAACATCAACATCAACACCACCTTTATCCCAAACTAGTTAGAGTTGGTTGCGGATAAAGACAACAATACAATAAAAACTTTAAGAGTTGAATGACAGGGAAGCTAGTAAGCTAGATTCCATTTTGGTTTTACTTGATCCTATTCATCTCAGCTTGCAATCAAACCAGATAGGAGAGTTTGGACTCCGATTTGTCTAGTTTTTTTTCTTGAAAATCCTTCTTCCAATTCCTACCTCACTCCCCTAATCACCAATATTCCTTAAGATAAACCAAAATGGATCCAAAGGTCCCCCTAAAAGCTAGTCTTCTGTCTGGACATCAATACTTAATAGGACTAACACAACTGATCTGGCTGCAAATTTGTAGACGACACCCTGCTCTATCTCCTGATTTTGTAATGTGATCTTCGGGTTCAGAAACTATTGAGCACCTGTGCTTGTATTACAAGGTGGTATATTTCTTATGAAAAAATTGTTCGGGGTTCTGGTGAGGTTTAGGTGTGTCGTACTTTTGAATAGTTTAAGATTAGATTTCAAGGCTTTAGCAAAAAGGAGGCAAAATTCTAATGACATGATGCAGTTTTTGGCTTTTTCCAGCTCTTTGGTGGATTTGGTTTGACATAAGTTTCACTTCCTTGTAACCTTCTTAATTATATACTGAGCCCGGGGGTCTTAGTTAATATGCAAGTCCAGCTTTGGCAATTAAAAAATACCCCAAAAGCAGAGATGTTAAATAATACCTGCACAGCAGCTGCAGTTTCTAGTGCTATGGTCTGACTTACTGCGGTATTACTTTCAAAGAATTTCACAATTTGATCAATGCTGTCCTTAATATACTGTCCAAACCCCAAAAATAAATCAGTTAACAAGTAAACCAAACAAATAAAAGCTTAAATAGAGAAATGGGGACAAAATGAAAAACATCATACAGTCATATAACATGGAGAAGCTTTGGCAACCATGCTCCAGTCCACCTTGTCATCAAATGGTTTATAATTGAAGACACCAATTAATGAGTCATATGAAGTTGCACTCTGAAAGGACATGAAAAAATATTCAAGTTACTACACTGTATTATACAAGCATGAAAATCAGAATGTAGAAAATTTATATCAATTATAAGGAGAAAAGTCCAACCTCAGCGAGGAGACCTTTCGGTGATGATAACTGATATGAGCCCAACCTAATGTCAAAAACCTTTGTTTCTGGATAAAGCTTTATTGAGCAACTGAGGTCTTCACATGATAATTCAGCAACAGGCTCTTTGGCTTCCCCAATAAGCTTGGAAGCATTATGGTTCATGTTAACCACCAGGAAAGTGTGAATAACATCTGCCTTGCTACTTATAGCCGATTGCCCATCATCACCTTCCTTATACCCAATTATTTTATTTAACTGATTCCAGTCCTCATCGCTGAAATTAAATTCCTCACTTTCCTCTTTAGGAGGTTGACTGGTCCTGTCAATGTACATGATCACAGGTGAGCAACAAAGCCAAAACTAAAATAAAATTTATCATCTAATTACTCAGACATGAAAATATTTTTTAAGACAGGACTCATCACCAGCCAAATGACCACCAAGATTTCCCCGCTTTCTGTTTCTTCACGTTAAGATTTGACTCCGCTGATTGCTGCACAAACTTGTGAGCCAACATTCTGCAAACACCATTAAACAAAAATACTTCAAGGATGAAGTATAAACAAAAGGATATACGCGCATGAATGTTGCAGTTAAATCAAATATGTGCATTACAAGGTTGTACAGATGCATGTGAAGGAAAAAATATCAAATGCTCATACAATGAAGGAAGAAAAAGAAACATCTATAGACCTTTCTTTTTAATACAGTTTTCAAATCATACATACTGTTGGAAAGTATCTCCTATTTATGGATTGTACATAACACAAATAATTAGGATTTTGTGATATTTTCATTAATTTCTTAGCATGGCATCATATCAGATTCGTTCTGGGCTAGACATCACAAATCTCTCTCCCCACAGTCATCGGAGACTCCTCCTCCCTTCTTGGTCCCTTCTTGGTGGTCAAACGTCTAGTTATGAACCGATTTGATAGTGGCTCATTGGACCCCACCTTATTTGGGAAAACATTATCAGTTTCAAGGGGCTCAATTTTTTTCCAGAAACATTTTGTGCCTTGAATCCAAATATCCCTTCACATTCCAAAGGTTCTCATTCATTTGGACTGGCAAATCCGTCACTTAATGTCTTATCGGGCAAATCATCTTACACCATTTTAAAATTAGAGTTCCAAGAGTATCTCCAGTTAAAGGCAAAGTATCACTCAGTCCTCTATAACCATTATTGCTCATACGGATAATCCTACAATTTGTATTTCTTGTATAGGTAATAATTCAGGAGCCTCTGACCATATGTTCATAAATAAGTCACTTTTTCCTTCTCTATCTCCACCTGACTTTTCTCATTTTGTCACCCTAGTCAATGGTTCTAAAGTGTCTGCCCGAAGTATTGGTAATATTTCACCCACAGTGTCTATATCATTAAAATCAGTCCTTAAGCCAGCTTGTGAGATCCCTCATACATTGTTTTTACAAGCTAAGATGCCTTTGCATTTTTAGGGTAATGTTGTCTTATTGCTTTCTATTTAATCAATCACATGCCCTCATCTGCTATCAATAATCAAGTTCCTCTTTTGTTGTTAGACCCAAATTGTCCCTTATTTGTTGTTCCTCCTTGAGTGTTTGTTTTGTCCATGATCTTTCTTGAGGTCGAGATAAGTTGTGCCCTTGTGCTATTTAATGAATTCCTTGGCTATTCCAGGCTGCGAAAAGGATATTTTTGTTGTTCCCCAGTCACTCACCGACGATATACCTCTAGTGATGTCATTCTCTTTTAAGACATACCTTACTTCATGTCTTCTCCTCATGATTCCTAAGGGTTTACCAGTTCCATATTTTGGTCCTCCTCTATCTCCTTTGCAGGTACCTTTCACAGAACCAATCTGTTCCACAACTTGAGGAGCCAATCCAATCCAGACTAGTCCAGCCCATTTCACCTCAGCGACCCCTCATCACCTATCAACATCCCCCCAAATGAGGTCATTCAAGTGACTAAAGAATTAGTCCTCGTGAATCATGTACTACTTTGACAACTTCCCCTACTACGGACCTAGCTATCCTCGGTGAGTCTATCACTATTGACATCATAAAAGGTATTGCGTCCACTCGTAATTTTCATCCTATTTATAACTTAGCATGTTTTCACCCGTTTATCCCCATCACTTTTGTTCAGCTCCCTAAAACTGTTGGTGAGGCCCTTTCACACTTTGGTTGGAGGCAAGCCATGATTGATGAGATAATTGCCCTTGAATATAGTGGTACATGGGATTTGGTTTCTCTTCCCCTAGGGAAAACAGTTGTTGGATGTTGTTGGTCTATGCTGTCAAAGTAGGCCCAAATGGTCACATTGATCATCTCAAAGCTTGCCTAGTTGCGAAAGGATACATGTAGATTTATGGTTTTGACTGGAGTTACACATTCTATTTGACTGCAGTTACACATTCTATCCGGTAACCAAAATGGCCTTTGTTCGCCTCCCTGGCAGCTATTGGACATTGGCTATTGGCCATTGTATCATGTAGACATTAAGAATGTCTTCCTATATAGTGATTTTGGAGAAGAAATTTGCATAGAGCAACCACCTGGGTTTTTTCCTCAGGGGGAGTCTGGTGTGGTTTGTAAGTTGAAACAGCGTCCTCAAGCTTGGTTTGGTAACTTTAGTACTATTGTGCAGGAGTTTGGGTTGACATTAAGTGAAGCTAATAATTCAGTCTTCAATCGACATACTCTATCTGGTCGATGCATTTATCAAATAGTTTATGTTCATGTTATAGTTATTATTGGTAATGTTCGTGATGGAATATTTCAATTGAAGGAGCATCTATTCAAACACTTGCAAACCAAAGACTTAAGTAAGATTGTTGATCTTGAGGTAGCTCAATCAAGGAACGGCATTGTGATTTCACAGAGAAATTATGCTTTACATATATTAGAAAAGCTGGTATGGCTGATGTTGACACTCATATGGCTCCGAAGAAGTAAACTATTACTAGATAATAGAGAACCACATTCAAATCCCGGCAGGTATAGCAAATTAGTTGGGAAGCTAAACTACCTTACACTAACCAAACCTGAAATTTCTTTCGCTACTAGTATAGCGAGCCAATTCATGCAACTTCCGTGTGTTGATCATTGAAATGGTGTGGTACGCATCTTAGGATATATTAAAAATGCTTCAGGTCAAAGATTCTTGGATGAAGACAAGGGGAATGCTCAAGTCATGGGTTACTCTAATGTTGATTAGGATGGTTCACATATTGATAGGAGGCCTACATTTGAATATTGTGTCTTTATTGGTGGTGATCTTGTTTCTTGGAAAACCAAGAAGCAGAATGTCATTACATGATCTAGTGCAAAAACCGAGTATAGAGTTGTGGTAATGGTCACTTGTGAACTTGTATGGGTGAACTATATTGTGACAATCAAGCTTCTTTACATATTGCATCACATCCAATCTTCCATCAGAGGACCAAGCATATAGAAATTGATTGCCACTTTATCGAAGAGAAAGTTCTCTCCAAAAAAATCACAATTGAATTGTTAATTATAGTGATCAGCTAGGTGATATTCTCAAAAAGCCATTCCAAGGAACTCAAATACACGTTATTTGTGCCAAGCTTTGAAGCATATGACTTGTATGTTCCAGCTTGAGGGGACCATTGGAAAGTGTCTCCTATTCAGGGAAAAACTTCCCATACCTCCTGTTTAAGGAATATAAATACTATAAATAATCAAGATTTGATTTGTATTATTTTTCTAAATTTTCTAGTTTTCTTATTTTCCTAGTTCCCTAATATTAGAGACGGTAAATCATACATAAATGGAAGGTTCTGCTGCTATTTCTATATTTCGTCAAGCAATTCACAAATCTTTCTACACATACCAATAAAGTAATCAGACCGAACTAATGTCCAAAGTCAAAAAGAGAGAGCTTCCTAGAATGAAGTAACCATGTATGAATTTTTATTAAAGTAGCAGTACAAAAAAAATACTTTTGCTTTTTACACTAGTTAAATATTCAAACGGACCTAAAATGATCCACTTTTGAAAGCTGATTTTATCATCCCCAAACAATAATTACTATGAAAATGTATGCATAATATTCAGTGACAATGACTATGATACTTTAGTTGATTTAGCTGATGATTTCCTTACATACTCATGTTTTTTCATATGATTCATCAAATATTAAATATTAACATACCAAACAAATACCCCATAAAAACAATATACCTCCATTGCAGTATAAGGTCAATATCAAGCTCCCGATCTAGTTCTTCAATCTCTTTGTTGCCACTAATTGTCACCTGACTAGGGTCAGATTTAAGTAACGAAGCATAGAGAGAGATATATCTCTTCCGCAAGCTTGCATATCTTAAAACTTGCTCCCATGACATTTTTCCACTGACAGAAATATAAAATATCCTTAGTCCAAGAAGTATGAATATCAAAACACCATATATAGAGATCAACTATCACCATTAGATCCCACAAAGCTCTAACATCGACATCTGAAAATGTTCATACAATATTCTGAAACTTAAAACATCAAACTTAGTTTGGTTTGATGAGAACATGAAACCAAACCAAACACCCTCTAAGCTTGTACATAGAAAGGCTGAATGAAAATTCAGGTCCAGAAATAAAAAGAATAATGCTAAATAAATGTCTCAGACAAGAATCTTTTGACTATCCTTTGAGAAACAGCTTAAAAAATTAGAAAAACACCATAACGAATTCACGATGCCAAAAAGGAAATCCATAGAAGTTTGATGCATGAACTTATCCACAAAATTTTCAACATTAAATTTCAGCAAAGATACAATAGCATTGTAAACATCATACAACTACCCAAAACATCTTCCCCTTCTTCCTTCCAAAACCTCCAATAGGAGTGAGCAGCAACCGCACGACATTTGTCAGCTTCTGACTCAAATGGCAAGTAGCTAACAGTCTAACACACGTGCATACATACAACTAAGTATTGCAAGTCAAATTACTGAGTTTTAGAATGGCAAAACAAATGACAGGAATGTCAAAAAGATAGTGCTTTGTGTTATCTCTTGTGCATTAATAAACTAGAAAGGTAAATAATATTAAGCATCATAGAACAAATAAAAGCCTGAATCTTAGACTTCAGCTGTCCATCTCTCATTTTTAAGTATGGAAAGTAAATAAAGGATATTCGTGTTCACTTCTAAATCCCATATGCCACTAAGTATAATCAAAGTTATCAAATGCGGATTGCGGCATGTCGCGGCCAACCCCGAAAAACACTATAGCGGGTTGCGGTTGCGGACATAGCGAAATAGATATATGATAGAAATAGTGCAAAAAGAAACATTTTTTAAAGGCAGAAATTACAGAAGTGACAAAGAGAGACGTAGATGGACTAAAAAACCCTTAAAAAATTTCTGTTACACATTTAAATTTAGGACAAAATTGACATTTTGCCTTATGACAGCAATATCGTCGTGATTTGGCCGCAAATGCGATCGCAATAGCCACCATTGCACTCCGGTGCGGCGCGGTGCAGTTTTTTGCGGCGAGGCACCGCAACGCCCATACGGCGCGACTCGTGGCGCTATTGTGGCGCAATTAACTACTATGAACTGGAGTAGCTTTTTATGACGTTCATTCGATGTGCCATCTATACTTTAGAACATCTTCTTTTGATTAAGTTCAGAAATGTAGGCCCACATACCAAGCAACGATGGTGCCATTTACTAACACATTCTCTATATGGATATATTTTAACAGAGGGTTGAGGCTACTCGGAAATAACAAAAGTAGTCAAAGGCACCCTTCCGGTGCTAAGGGCCAAAAAATCAGTAAAATATTTTACTTTTATGCATTAAAAACAGCGTGCACGTTACTCTGTTGTGTGCATGAAACAGTAAAGAGTGTGTGTACAGTCTGTAGACAAAAGAAAACAGAGAATTAAAAAAGGAGGATAAAATCCATATAAAAATTGCATGAGTAAGGAAGAAGAAAATAGGAATTCAAAAAAAAAATTATAAGACTTTTATTCTACTTTGTCGGTTGTGCAACATTGTTAGAGAATAATATAAACTATTAAAAAGGTTATCGCCTAGCAACTTGATATAAAGAAACCCCCCACGCAAGAGCCCTTTGGGTTTGAAGCGTGGATATTACATAGGTCCAATTTTTTTTGTTAACCTTGTGCTTATTTAATTCCACTAGAAAGTGGAGGGCGGTGAGGATCGAACTTGTAACCTTGTGGTCACTGAAGCTATGATACCATGTAAAGAACCAATTCAATCCAAAAGCTTAAGCTGTTAGGTGATGGCCTTTTTAATGGTTTATATTAAACATAATTAATTAATAAAGATTTAAATTATCAATTTATCATAAGTGCTGAAAAATACACAGAAAGAAATAATAACAAATCAAAAATTAAGAAGTATTATATGGAGCAGTGAATGATGTTTTGCCTCCTCTCATCCTCTGCTTTATTATTATGCAAATCATTTTGTTTCAAGCTTGACTCCTGGGCTGCGACTGTTTTTTAATATTAATATCCAAGGCTTCTCATAGATTAATATTTCTTAATTCCATGCTCTATATGTAAGGCACTCGCCTGGAGTGCCTCCACTATGATATAAAAGTGCCATTAGGGCATGAAAGGCGCACACCTCACAGAAGAGGCAACGCTATAACCTGCACGAGAAGCTGTTAGCTCCATCACCCTGCCTCAGCACCTAAGGCATGCTGTTAAGCAAGTGCCTTTAACTACACTCAGCCAGAACAGGTACTAGATATCAACACTAATTTGTTAACTTGTTTCTCCAATAATACTAGTCACAAGTCTTATTTGCTTATAAAATTAAGCTGCTAAATTGTGGGCTTCTTATGCAAGTTACACTCCCTATCTATAGTAATTAGAATTCACAAATCTTAGCTTGGCATTTGACAAGTAGCGCACAAGGCTGTCAACATAATTGGAATGTGTTTAAAATTTTAAATACCTTGCCTTCTTCATCTGGTCAGATACAGCTCTGTAAGCATACTTCCACCAAGACCTTGAATCAGCTTTAACTGGCACCAGTGGTCGATAATGAGCATACTTTAGACGTTGGTTAAATGAAGCAAAGTTGTCTGCTAATTTCATGATATCCCCGTATCCATCCTGAAAAGACAGAAATGCAAAGATTATTCCAACAAATAATAACAATCTCTGAGAACAAAAAAATTCAGAGAAGCACCAAATGAACCTTAGATAAGCTGATTGTAACATCATCCAAATTCACCACAGCCTTCTGTAAAGGTTGTTTGCTATCAGCAACCTCATTTGAGTGCAGCTTGGAGTACTTTGCTTTCCCAGTCACCGGTTGCAGAATGTATGAGTGCTTTCTTAACAAAGTATCAGCTGGCTTCCCATCTTTAGTGCCAAATTTAAATATCTGAAATTTTAATAGGAAAATTACTAAGAGAATCTAAAAAGAAAGAAGAGGTAAGAGTAACAAAATGATGATGAAAGCAAAAGAAAATCATATGCCACTTCCTAAGGAGGCAAGTGAATAATTCTTTCAGGAACCCTAGCTGTGGTATTTTAAATTTTTGTGGTTCCATTCAATCCAAATACGTCCAAATAAAATGCAATGCATCATAAATGTCCCTACAAGTTGGCCCTCCATTTGTCTTTCCATTCAAAACTCAAATCAAATCACCACCAATCCCTCAAGCATAGCAAGACTAACCCACATTAATATATATGTATATATATATATATATGTATGTATGTATATATACATATGTGTATATATATATATGTGTGTATATATATGCAAGAACCTAATAATAGCTTTTATAACTATTAATGTGCCCCATCATGTGAAAGCCCACCATAGAATGTCGAGTTGTTAACATATCACATATCATGCAGCTATTTTATACAAAAACTAAACACGACTTTAAACTGAAATTTATATCATAAAATTTTTAGATAGAAAGGATGGAACTCAAACCACTCCGTCAGGTGGCCTTTAACTATATGTCAAAGGATCATATATTCAAAAGCTTAAGCAAATGCGAAGCAAAGTCCCAGCTTCAGTTTTCTAACTCTACCAATGTCAAACCTTGGATCAAAATAAGGAAACCATGAATATGCAATAAGCATGATTAGCCAATTCATGCATAGAGCAGCGGATGTTTTACAAGCAGAACATTGAATATTGCAATACTTCAAGAAAACAGGAAAAGGTGTTTTATTCAAGAGAAATGGGGGTGATACTTGAGGCATACACCAATACAGATTATGCTAGGTCACTAAGTGATAGAAGATCAAACATTGGGTATTGCAACTTTCGTGGGGAAATCTAGTAACTTGCCGGAATAAAGAACAACATGTGATGGTACGATCTAGTGCAAAGGAATAATTCAAAGAGATAGCTCAAAGTGCGTGATATTTGGTTAAAGGTAGTGCGTGAGCTTTGGTTAAAGGTTATTCTTGAAGATTTGAGGGTCAAGTGGAAACAACCAATGCAACTCTCCTGCGACAGTAAATCTACAATTAGCATAGCCCAAAATTAGGGAAAAGATGACTAAACAGAACATATCGAGGTTGACAAGCACTTCAACCTATGTGACTATACACGCTCAGCTTGCTGAAGTGCTTTCCAAAACGGTTGAGCAGTCTAGCATTTCACAACATTGTATCTGTTGTAAATATGGAAAGTACATGTAACTATTTGTTTCCTTATTTTTAGGATTTGCATTAATTCCTTTAGACCCATTAGTCTCAATATATGTTGTACCCTTTTATACAAGATCAAATTACAATAGCAATAATATTTAACTAATCTTTTCAAGTTAGCATCAGAGCAATAGACCAGGAGCTTTTTCTGCTTCTACATTCACCACCATGAGTTCGAAACCCTATTCTAAGAATCTCCGTTCACCTTGCTACCACCGAGAAAAATTTCCAGGGACTTTTTTCATCCCAGAAGACCACCGTTCATCTCAAATTTCCCAAATCTACTAATCTACAATAGTTTCACGGCCAAAAGAAGATCCACGCACCTCTAATCACGCGTACAACCTTCAAACTATTGTTCAGACTCCGGCCGACTACTTTTCCGACGGATTTTCACCTCTGGCCACCCACAGAAGGGGTCGCACCATCAAAAACCACCATGCCCCAAAATCCACCACCACTAAAGCCTCCACACACCCACATGCGGCCAAGCTTCTCTATGCGTAGGACTCATGCTCCGCCGTCTCACCGAATCGCCTCAAACCACCATGGTTGTGACCGCCCCGCCGTCCCGAGTCCAGATTTGTTCTCACCTCCTTGATCAGTCACTATTTAGGTTGTGGGTCTTTGATCTCGCCAAAAAATTTGGATCTTTTTGGTTCACTTAGGCCTCGTTTGCTCAGATATGACATTTTCCATCGCTGTTTGGAACATCTAGAGTCTTCTGTTGTAGTTAACTAACCTATTTTTATGTTTCCCTTTCCTTTTTTGTCCATGGGACATTGATGCACCCACTATAAATGGTTTGGACACACAAAAGACGTGTTTTCGCCTTCATAGAAAGGAACAGGTTCCAGAGAAACTTGGTACAGCATTCTCATATGTGACAATCGACGAGGACAGTTGGAGCAGCTTAAGGCCATTACTAAAACTTTTAGTAAGTCTCCTAGCATTTGTTCTTCAGCTATTCCTTCACAAGCCTTACATCTCTTTTTCCTTCTTAAACTAATTTCAAAAATTCGTGGATTATGGATTTTGAAGCAATACATAATATCACCCTGACCTGTTTAATTGAGCAGTTTCTTTCATATCACCCTATTAGTGGTATCTAGACTATAATTGTATCTGATGGATCCCATAAACCAGTTGTGAGTTCTGGTAACATTTAAATTCAACCATCCTTGTTTCTAAAAAATGTTCCTCAGTTCTCCACCAATCTTATCTCCCTTATAAGCTTACGAATGACTTGAATTGTTTTGTCACTTTTTTTCCTACTCATTGTGTTACTCAGGATCTCACCACGGGGAGAATGGTTGGAGTAGTTAAGGAGTTGGTGGGTTGTACTATCTCATTCCAGAGCACGCTACAAGTGATATCAAGAATCAATTATTGATGACTCGTCACTCGTCTACTCCAGTATCTCTGATTTGGCTTCATCACAGGCACCTGGGACCCCTATCATTTAGCCTACTAAAGTCAATGTTTCCTTCTTTGTTTTTGCATCAGTCAATCGACTCTTTCCATTGTGATGTTTGTGAGCTTGCAAAACACCAGCATGTGTCTTTTCCTTCAAGAGCAATAAAAAGTATTAAACCCTTTACTCTTTTTCATTCTGTTGTTTGGGAGCCTTCTAAAGCATAGTCTTTTAGGTGCTAAGTGGTTTGTTTCCTTTATTTTTATGATTGTACATGATAATGAAAAGGAAAATTTGGTTGATAAGGCCGATAATTCATCCAATACATGCCCTTTATCGATCTATAGAAGGTATGGGACACCCGAACTACTATATTAGAGGAAAAAACAACCCACATTGCCCCACCAGCAACTACAATCGTCTAAACCACTAGCAAGTATTGAATGCACTACTCCTTCTGTTCCTGAGCCTCATATAATCCTGATGACTTAACCATTGCATTAAGGAAAGGGAAAAGGTCTTGCACCCACACCCATCATCCCATTTTGACTCCTCTAAGAACCTTTTTGTGCAATCTTTATTTCAGCACTAGTTTACACTTCGATTTCGACATCAGCACACGAAGCATTGAAAGATGATAATTGGGTTCAAGTAATGCGTGACGAAATAAATGCTTTGGAGAATATTACCTGGAAATTGTTGACAGGCCAAACGAAAAGAAAACAGTGGGATGTAGATGAGTATATACTTTGAAATATAATTTTGACGAGACTCTTGAGTGGTATAAGGCTCACTTAGTAATCAAGGGTTACACACAGACCTATGGCATTCATTATGCAAAAACATTTCATTCGTTGGCCAAAATAAACAGCACAAGAATCCTATTGTCCCTTGCTGCTCACTTTGATTAGGACTTAAACCAATCGATGTAAAGAATGTCTTCCTTAATGGCGAGTTAGAAGAGGAAGTTTATATGGAGATCCCATTAAGATTTGACTATATAAATGGAGACAATAAATACGTAGGTTAAATCTCCACTTGTCTAGTTTGGAAGATTTAACAAGGTTATGAAGTCATTGGGATACAAGCAAAGTCAAGGAGATCACACATTTTTCTTTAAACATTCCCAAAAAGGTAAGCTCACTATTCTTCTAGTTTATGTTGATGACATTGTTATAATAAGGGGTGATATAATTGAGAAACATGCTCTGTAAGAAAGACTAATTGCTAAATTTGAAGTTAAAAATATTGAGAAACTTAGATATTTTCTTGTTATAGAGGTTGCCCATTCAAAGCGAGGGATCTTTATCTGTCAATGAAAATATGTTCTTGACCTCCTAAACAACACTTGGGTATAAACCTTCCAATACTCCACAATTGGATTGAATCACAAACTAGAAAATGAAGAGAGCCCTCCAGATGACTGATAGGCCCCCAAAATATGTGTATAAGAGGAAGAAGACCTTAAATGGGAGTGGATTAGGTCGTTTGGAGGTGGACAATAAAGAAGATGTAAAAGGGAAACACAAAATTTAGAAGAATAACAAACTTGGGACTATTATGGAGAGTGAAGGGGAGTAGTTAAAGAGGTGGACACGTGGCAAGCACTGAATGGTGATTTAGAAGTAGGAAAAAAAGAATGGGGGAGGCTAATGCATATATGGAAGGGGAGGATGGTGTGGAGCGAAGATTGGAGAGGTTGGAAGGACGCATGAATAGGGTGGAGGTTGGAAGCTACGTGAGACGATTCTGGAATTTCTAGATCGCGTGGATCATCGTGATGCTGGGAGGCGTGTCACCAGGGGAACGAAGGGGACGAAGATGAGATATAAAGGACCTATGAAGTTACTCTGTGATAATAAATCAGTCATTTGTATAGCATACAATCCTGTCCAACACGACCAAACAAAACATATTGAGATGGACTGCCGTTTCATCAAGGAGAAACTAGATAACGGACAGCTCACTACTCCATATATTCCTTTGGATCGTAAACTAGCTGATGACTTGACCAAGAGACTTTCTATTGGTTTCCTTGTTTTTAGGATTTGGGTTTAATTCCTAGACTCGTTAGTCTCTATATATATTGTACCTTTTTGTACATTATCATATTACAATAGCAAGAACATTTCACTTTTCTTTTCAAGTGTATCCATGAAGAATGACAGATTATACTATCTATATTAAAAAATATTTCGTGTTGTGTGACAGATTATATTCTAGCTATTTTAGGAAACATTCTGTAACAGATTGCATCCCAATAATTAGGCACATTTAATTGTAATTTCTAAGAAGTTAGGAAATCCCACAAATTATGGGGAAGGGTTAGGCCCAATCATTTTGTCTAGATCTATACCAGGCAGCTTTACTTGCATTTGCAACCTACTGATTACATTAATCAAACATGTGACCTCCAGATCACATGGTGACAACACTAACCGTTGTGCCAAGTCTCTCCTTAAATAGATAATAAAAAAATAAAAAAAACCACTCCCCGTTAAACCCGACTAGCGAGTGTGGGGTGGAGGAAATCCTTGTACGCAGCCTTAAATAGATAATATGAATTAAAATAGAAAAGGACTTCAAATAAGTTGAGGAAACACAATAATTATCAGCGTAAAAATCCATAGCCCTCACTATCCACTTTAGTATCCACCATAAATACCTGAAACCATTCTGAAGGAAGCAAATCTTCCCATGATTTATCAACATTCCATGGAATAATATCTGAATCTAAATAAACTGCAAGCCGGTCCAGTTCAACAGACTGCAAAGCAATGAGGAAGAAAGACATTAACAACAAAATAACACTAGCAACATAATAATTAAGCAAAATGAAAGGCAATAATCATTATGGACTATGCAATAAGATTATTTCCATTTCGCAATTATGGACTTAACTACTGTTCCTAGTAATTCTGTTTCATTGGTAAGAAATAATATCAATTAAAATAAGACAATAAAATAAGTAGATAGTGTCAAACAATATGATCAACAAAATAAGCTCCTTTTCAAGCAAATAAAACTTGAAGATAGAAAATTTAAGATAAAATTCCACTGTCAAAAGATATACTTTAGAACTATATCAAATTAAACAAGCATCTAAATCAGCACAGAAGAATTTCATTGTTACTGCCAATATCAATTAATGCTACGACAAATCAGAACCTTTTGAATGCAATCAAGTGCACCTCCAGGGATAAAAGTCTCTTTCCCAGTATCATCAACTGTCACAGCTGAGAGTTTGTCCAACGTAACACCAGCTGCAAATGGGTGCCCTCGATTGCTACAAGACAGAATACATCAGGCTAGAAAAAGATATTAAAAGCTGTGTGATATCTAATTTATTTTCAAGAAAACATTTAAAATCCTCCTTTACCTCTCACCATCCTCATATCTGATGTGAATATTAGAAATTGAAAGCTTCAAATTTCCAATAATGGTACTGATGAGGGATCCCAACCATGATTTGTTCTTAAAAATAAACAAAAGGGTAAAAAAGTTAACATAAGTTCTTCCTAAACATATGGAAACATGCATGCACATACTTACATAGGGCTCCAAAGAGGTATTTGGAGAACATAATTATTTACTTCTGTACCAAATGCATAGGTATAATAAAATTATATATGAAATGACTTTTTTCCAAAATCCCTGAATGAAGATTATACATATTACCCAATTCATTTGTAGAACACGAAACACACAATTTGAAACCAAAAACTTCAAAAATATCAGCATTTAGCTATAAGGCGAATTTGTAAAAAAAATCTTTCACTGGAAAGCGGTAACTTTCTTATGGAATATTTTGTTTGGGGTTTATGGAGAGACATGGCTATGTCCTTCAACTTTTGAACTATTTATGATTGTTAAGATTTAAAGGCTTTGGCAAGAAGGAAGCAAAAATTGTGTGGCAATGATGCAGCTTTGGCAGTCCTTTGGTGCACTTGGTCTTTATGGGTTTCTCATTACCTCTCAACTTATTATAGGACAGTATTACGTTAATGGCCTCTTTATAGTGTTCTGATATTAACTATTTTTAGTTGCCGTTTCAGACATGTATAGAGATTGAGCAGTTTTGGAGAACCATGGATGGTTGGTGGATAGATGGATGGTTGGTTTCACACCACCTAAGGTGAAAATCTCCTACTCATTAAAATAAATAAATAATGTTAAGCTCATACCATTTCTGACGTTAACTGTTGTGACTTCTCCCACAGCTTCAATTCCATCTCCTGTTGCCAAAATGGAGGGAAAGTATTCTTCATCAAATAAATTGTCTTCAAGTAACATTGAATTACCCCAGTTTACCTAATCCTTCTCAGTTCTTACCTGTATTCGGCTCTTCTTAGCTTCTTGGACAGCATCCTCACTACATCCCTCAACTTCAGTTGCAGGTTCGGCTAATAAGAAAATGCGATCCAAAGATACTAAGACTGGATCTTGGCCAAGCCTACTCCATGGAACCTTAAAAGAAATACAAACATCCAATATGATCATCACGTGCAGAAAGGAGTATGCTACTTAGATAGTCTGCTCAATAAGTGCATGCTTGAAGATAGATTGAAAAACATTTTTTATATCAACAACATCAACATCAACAACACCTATATAAAAAGAAATTTTATCAAAGAGGAAGATAAAAGCTAAATTATAAGTAAGGGGATGATAAGATATCCTCCGAAAAAGAAAATGAAAAGAACAAGAAAAAAAGAAAAAGTAAAGGATCCAGCTAGGCAGCCCAGTCTATCTAGATATCAGAAATGGAAACTCCCTTGAAACAGGCATGTGCAGAACACCAGAAAGAAGCCAAAAACAGAAACCCATCCCAAAACCAATCTTGGAACAAAACAGCACAATGCCACAAAAAAAATGACCTCATTCTTCCAAAACCTTTAAAAAGAACCAAGAGAAACTGCTCCAATTCAAGGGGCACACCCAAACCGAGATTCAACCGGCACACACAATTACTTATTTGAAAGGAAAGTACCTACCCTACAATTTATAGATGGAAAAACATAAAATAACCTATGTACTTCATCCTGAACTAAAAAAATATTATCATCATTACACATTAATAATGAACTTCTACGGTTCTACCACAATCCATTACACCCCCCCCCCCCTCTCTTTTCACGCTTTTAATATGTCATCATCCTCAAAATGAAAAATTAACTATGAAAACCAAAAACCAGAAAAGATAAGCTAATAAAAATTAGAAAAATAAGAAAATAAAATAGGTGGTTTGACCACAACTTAGTCACACGAAGTTGGAGAATAAAGCTGGCAAAAAACAAATTAAACAGAGAAAATAATTGAAATAGAACGCTTTCAGAATGCTACTTCATCTTGTAAGTTAAAGCTATCTCTACTATTCATTTCTTCACCAAAGATGAGCAAAGCACAAACTTGGGACTGGGTTGAAGGCATCTCTCCATAGTTTCCAACTTCTTCATCTAAGCTCTTGCTCCTTTCCCGTGATTACTTTCCACCCCATTCTCTTCTTTTCCTCTATTACCATCATTATCAAAGAGGTTTACAGTAGAAGGAAAAGGAAAGGATAGGAGATGCCAACTTTATATATGACCATTCAGAAGAAAAAGCAAAGGAATCTTGACCATCAAGCATAATCAAAACATATATAACCAGACTCAACATATTATACTTCTAAACTTCTGAGAAAAAGAAGTTAATCCCCACCAACCTTAAGTTTCACTGATCCGAGAAAACCTGCTTTGACCTTCACCGGCAATTTTAAAGCATTTAGAGCCTCGGGCTTCAGCTGCATATTCTTCAGCTCCACATCACCTGTTTCATATTTTGGTTTTTGGGAAGAAAAATATAAGAGATACATTAAGAAAAATTGGAGAGGAAGGAGACAAAAAACAACCAAAAGCACACAAATGTACATCCATAAATTCATTAAATCTTTCAAAAATTAGCGACTAAGATACATATATACTTATATTTATGCACAGATTGACCTTGCCAGCAAATGCACATTGATCTTGGAATAACACACCAATGAATCAGGACAGCTAGAACAAATTAAGTATTGAAACTCCAATACACTTGGAGGAAAAGGGAATAAAAGAAACAGTAAAAAACCAGTATAGCCAAATATCATTTGTTAATAGCAGGATTTTTGTCTAATACCTTTTTCCCTCTCATTCAAAACTATATTAACTGGAACAAGGCGCAAATTTCACATTCACCAAAAACACAACAATGTTCAAACACAAGCTGCTGATACAATCACTCGAGCACTACGATTGCGATGGCGCAGTCAACAGATAGAACACTTGAACTTCAATTAAACAAATATAAACGCCCCGTACTTTATTTCAACCACAATAGTTGAGACATAAACTCTATAGTTTCACTCTAATTTCAACTCAGCAGTCAAGTGAAAAATAAAAGCGTTAAACCTTTCGGAAAGCGATTTAAGAAGAAAACGAATAAATAAAAGGAGAAGTAAGGATTTTCTGAACCTTTCCAGACACTGATTTTGAGAGCTTCTTTGTTGAGACCCCTTACATAATTGCCAAGGTACCTCTGCAAAAGGTACGCTACCTGATCCTCCAGCATCTTGTTGCCGAGTGATCATACACTCAGCACAATGATGATCGTAACGGTTACACAGACGAAAACGACGACGAATGACGATAGTGATCAGAAGAGAAAGAAGATACTGAGAGATAAAAAAAAACTGCACAAGGAATCGATGATTCGGAACTTGAAGGCCACGTTGTCGCTTTGGTCCCAAGAAAAAAATAAACAAAGAAAAATGAAAAGTTGAAAACGCTGTAGCCTCCTTGCTCTAGAAGGTAGTCCAACGAGTGCAGATCGCAAAAAATTAGGGTGTCAATAAAATTACATTATTTAACTAACAGGAGTTGACCACGTAGGAAAACTAATCACGTGACTTCACGTGACACTTACGTGGCTGTTTAATAGAAGCGTAACATCCGTGGTACACTGGTACAGACCGCACTGGAAACGGTAATATTTATTAATTAGAGCACTTGCTAATAATATGAAGGCGGTTAACCATGGAAATGACGCATTTACCCTACAAGAATGCAAATTGCAAGTAAACGACTATGTGGACGTGGCATGATCTGCCTCAATGAAGCGCAAGTCAGCTCGCCACCTCGCGTTATGTGAATAATGCAATTCCTTCTACATTCATCGCATATTTTCTTTTCTTAATCTGTATTCACACTTCATAGCATATTTTAATGTAAGTTATTAAATATAACATATAAATATTACTGTAATTTTTTCGATTATGCATGTTACATATTTTGAAAAAATATATATATTTTCCCCATTCACAAATGTAATGCTATGCAGTTAATTTCAAAAATTTGCTAGAAACAAAAACTTTTGTCGAGATTAAAAAATTAGTTTTATGCTATTAAATTAAGGGAATAAAATTTCTAAAGTTATTTTAAAAAAAAAAATTCTAATGCTCACGAAACGATGTGATTTTGAATTAAAAGATTACAAAATTAATAATAAAAATTATTATAACTCTAAAATAAATTAAAATTATAAACACACTGTAATTTTTGCTCAAAACAATATCGTTTCAATAAACATTAAATAAATTTTTCTAAAGTAACTTTAAAAAAATTACTCTTGAATTAAAACAAATTGTCAAATAACCTTTTGAATTAAGGGGGAAAATTATATTGCTAAGGATTCGGATTTACACTAAATTATATATTTAAATATATATATCATTAGATTTACAGTGTGCATATTTCTAATTTTTATATTTCCTTTCAAGTTGTGAATATATCACGATGTATGTCTTACACATGCAATCATATTATTATTAGCAAACTCATAAAACAAAATTGTATTCTAATATCAAAACGAAAAGTGAAAAATTTAGCAAAAATACTTTTTTTCTCACAGCGATTTAAGTAGTTGAATGGTCACGCGTGACTTACGCCACCAACCACTAATCAAAGGCAAGCTAGCAGCATCTTCAACTGCAGCAAAATATCGCATAAATATGATAATTTCCTTAATAACTTAAAATTTACAGGACTTCCACCTCCCTTATCTGCTGTTCATTATGTTGTAATTAATGAAATTGTTAATATTAATCATTTCTAGTAATTTATAATGGGTTCAATCAGTCACTTGATTTTATACTTCTGTGAATATCACTTTCATTCTCATTGTAAATATATACTCATTCATTTTGTATCTACTATTCCAAGTAATTATCTTTAATTTCGCTTGTGACAAGAACTGGAGTGGCGTCTCCCACTCCTATGGTTACCCAAGCATCTTTAAATCGGAGACTTTAGAAAAGAGACCGAGACCAACAAGGACCCAAACCCACTCCATCAAAACACAGCATAGATAAATAAATACCCATCTTATGTAATGGATATTGTAGAACTGTCTTTTCGCTGTTGGGTCATACACAAAAGAAGCCTGCACCCTAGTCCCTCGGCTTCACAAGTCCAATATAATCCAAATCCTGGTAAATCGGAAGACCTTGGAAATAATTTTCTTGGGTTTGATGCTTACCCTTCCAGGCCCATCAAACTAATTAACACAAAATGTCTATTGAGTCCCTGGCTAACAACATTCTACAATTTCTTGGGAGATTTTGCTGCACATGGAGGTCCCTGTCATTATGATTGTGGGAGTAGATGCGAGCCAGTCCTCCACTATATTCTCTTCTCTATAAGTATGTGTAACAACAGTGTGTCAATTTTGAGCTAAGAGTTTTCGGAGTGTGTAAAGTTTTCTTATTTGTCCCATGGCATCTAAGAATAAATATTTCTAAGATGTATAACTACCCGATTAAATTCATTAACGTGTGTTCCTGAATAGGTGTACTTCTTTTATTTGAAGTGCGTAAGGTCTTTGTATGAGATACAACCCGTTAGTGAGAGATTTTTTCAAGTATAGGCTTTGGAGCTTCTTCCACGTGTCCAGTGTAGTTTCTTCTTCCTCCACTTCACACAATTCTTTATTTGATAGATTGAAAATTCTTGTGTTACCAACCTTCTCGTCAACTCCGCAGTTGGAACGGTTAAAACAGGTGTTGCTGTACGCATTATGCCTGCAGTCATAACTTTACTATCAGCGCCTTTTTTCCAGACAATTTTTCTGTTGGCCAAAATAGCATGCATTTTGACATTCCATGAGCTGAAGCTAATTTTGCTATCAAATTTTTCAATCTCACAATTGCTTGACATCTTTAAAGCTATGATACCTGTTAAGAGTGTTAGTGTTAATAGTGTAGAAGTCCCACATTGAGTGTGTCTCTTTGTATTCTTCAATTGGTTTGCTATATAATAGCACCAATGTTGTGTAGTTTAATACAACAAGGATTACTATCATTTCCTCTTGTATCTATGAGATTTAACATGGTATCAGAGCCTCATGTCCCGGGTTCGATCCTCGCCGCCCCCCACTTTCTTTCAAGTGGAATTTCTTTGTTCGCACAGGTAGGTGGGCCTGTGCATTGTCCACCCTTCAAGCCCAGTGGGCTCTCGTGTGAGGGGGCGTGTTGAGATATATAAAAACCATTAATGTAGCCTCACCCAACAGCTTAAGCTTTTGGATTGAATTAGTTCTTTACAACCCTCATGCAAGACATGCTTATAATCCACCTTCTCATTAAATCTCATCAATAGATATACATTGTCCTCATCTATTAGTTTGACCACATTTTCTTAAGTTCCATTAGAAATCTCACTCCCAATTGTTGGATATGGCTCATATTTCGAATGCTGACGAAGGCCTTTGTTGGCGGGGTCAACAAAAAGGCAATTGTGGGGGGTCCATGAGAGCCGCCCTAGCAAGGGTTTACGGGAAAACGCCCCCGGCCCCGTATAGGCCTAGTACTATTGTGGGCCTTTGACATATTGTAATTTATTTTTACTTAGTTGTTTGGGTTTGGACCCTTGAATAGCTGTTATTAGGATTTTCTAAATTTTATTTATATTCCCTTGTAAATCAAATGACTTATAACGAGTGACGGTGAGATGAATATAATACAGACAAAGACAAGCTGAATGTAGTCTATATTGGGTGAATCAAGATAAATCACTATCTCGATCTCTATCTTCCCTTACTCTTTTCGTTTTTCGATTTTGTATGTGTGTCGATTTCCAACACGAATCTCATTCTCATCAACTTGATTATTATAGATTTGCTTCGCAGCTCATAGTTTGCTTTGTGCGAACTCTTTAAGACCTTGTATACAAAACACAAAGGATCTTCGTCGCCTTTAGCTGTCAAGTATTCATGCATATCTTTTTCCTCATCTCTTTTTTGCATTTTCATTTAGTCCTCTTCCTCACAATGAGAAGCGCCTCCATCACCATTCAACTGTAGCACTCTGTCTTTGTAAGAGATTGCTTCCCTTCTATCACCATGAGTGGGACCTGACTACTTCAAGGCTATCTATTTTGGCCTCAGTGTTAACTGTTTTGGCTCCATCAGAACTTCACAAGCATTTTCTTGGTTCTTCTCAACTATTTCTTTGTCCATAGTAGAGACCTCATGTTACGGAAGTGGAATTGGGGCACCTTCGTGGGCAAAGAGTTATATAAGTAAATGTAATATATACATATGAGTTAGTGTATTGCTGTTGTTAAGAAGATAAGTTAGTTATTGTTGGGGTTATTGTAGTTGATATAGCAATTAGTTAGCTGATGTGGAAGCTTACCACAAGATGTATAAAAAGAGAAGTATTGTAGCTCTTTGAGAATATCGAATAACATAAATCAATTTCAGTTTCTTGTTTCTTGTTCTCAGAACCTCAAGCCTCTAACATCAGTACTTTCATTTTTTAACACCATTTTTCATCATGGATGAACAAGAGTCTGCGTCTCCACCATCCCAAGAACTAGTTTCATCACTTCGTGTTCATGAGCAAACTGATACAAAAGGTTTGTGTCCCTTGTATCTTCATTTTTTGCAAGAACTAGTTTCATCTCTTCGTGTTCATGAGCAAATTGATACAGAAGGTTCGCGTTCCCTGTATCATTTCGTCCCACACCAAAAATTGGGTTTTCTCACTGCTCCTTTTATTATTCTTCCTACATATTGTAGTGAGTCCCAGAGTCAGCCAACGAAGGATGAACCCACAGTTGTTCCAGTTCGTGTTCCTGCATACTGTTCAGGAGTCATTGCGGGTCTTGAAGTCATGCATACTCTAAACTGGCAAGAGTGTTCCCCATCCGTGGCATAAAATTCATGCAAGAAGGTCACTGTCGTGAAGACCCATTTGACAAATAAGTGTACTTCTTTTGCCGACGTAACCAATAAAAGAAATTTCTCTCGCTGGTGTAAAGATCTTTGTTGTTGCTCCATCAAAGCCTTTGGTTCCATGTGTGTCAAAGGCTGCGATAAAGAACTTTGAGATACACCACCCTAAAAGTTAGCTCGAAGGGTGGGAGTGTCCAAGGCCTTATAAAGGCCACATTAATTGCACATACAATCAATGTAGGATTATATATCTCAACACGCCCCCTCACACAAGAGCCCATTGGGCTTGAAGAATAGACAATGCAACAAGTCCAGCCTACCTGTGCTAAGAAACGCCA